GAAGGAAGGAAGGAAGGAAGGAAGGAAGGAAGGAAGGAAGGAAGGAAAGAAAAAGAAGAAAGATGGTAGAAGGGAATGGAAGATGGAAATTACGCTGGCCAAAAGGGTTGGTTATTGCAGAGTTACCTACAGGTGGCAGGGCTATCCGGCAGATTCCTTCACTAGTGCTGATCTGATGAACTGGATTCAGATTCCGTTTCTGGGACACCCCACACTGTAAGTTGAGGCTCAGTTTGGCGAGGAGGGGCTCAGCATCAGCGGTTCTATTTGGAGCCTCGTGTTTTTAATACCAGGATCGGGGGCGTAGTAGTTGCTCAGTAAACCCTGGCCTCCTGTGTTCTCATCCCATTCTACCCACTCCACCCAGGTCCTCCCCTTCTGTGACACCAGGTCACAAGTCTCCCTGCCTCATCCCCGCAGGTCACTGCCTACAGCACAGTGCTGAATCCCGCCCAGGGGTTCCTTCCGGAAGGCCTGAAGGCGCTCTTCGTGGTACCTCCTCCACTCCACTGAGCCTCCGTTGACCCCTCCTTTATGTCCCACGCGTTACCCAAACTGGGTTCCCTGCCATCTCCCCAAAGGAGTCGGCACTTCCCACCTCCCGGGCTCTGCTGTCCTTCCGCGCCCTAGAAATCGCTGTCCTCCGGTTCCAACATGCCAACATCCGAGCCATCCCACACTGCCTCTCAGTGGCCCTAACCCCCGAGGAGACTCAATTGGTCTTAAACTCCAAGTCTTCATTGACTCCAGACATGCTCACCACGGGTATGTTCTGGGCTGGTGAGCTTTTTCGTTGAGCCCCACCGTGGAACTTGGCACGTCTTCAGGCACGGTCTATGTTCTGTTTCTTGTCAGCCGTTGTCCTCCCCCTCTGGGGTTGCAAGTACTTGGAAGACATCGTTCTAGACCTACAAGCTCCACTGAGCGGAATTTTGGGTGACTTTTTCTTCTTTCTAGGCCTGGCAGTGCCCCAGGACCCACTTCCTTCCAGGTGGAGGCGGCCTATTAACTTAACGCAAGGTTCACCGGGCCTCCGCAGCATCCTTGACCTCCTGAGCCTTATCAAGTGAGTTAAATAGTGGCCTGGGATGGATGGGTTACTGGTCCGACTCGGCTGGTCCAGCCTGAAGTAAGGAAACCCAGATACACACAAAGCAAGCAATTGACACATTCAGCCTCTTTCTCCCTGGGAAGAAGAAGGCAGAGACGCAGGCTCCGAGGTAGGAGTGGGGGTGCCACGGGGGGGGGCCGCGGCAGCCGAGTTCATTAGCCCCCTCATTTGGGGCAAAGGGGATCCGTGTGGTGACAAACAATTGTCCTGGGGGATTTAGGAGGATTTGGCCAAGTGTCCCTGTGGGCCCCAAGCCTCCTCCTAATCCCGTCCACATTTCAGACTACTTAGGATCGCATTAAATGTCAAAGCCGGCGTTTAGGGAAATATCTACATTTCGTATGCATCGCTCGGGTCAAAAGAAAAGCTGAAACGAACCTTCGAGCATTTGGCGCGAGAGGCTCTCTGTGTGGTCCGGAGTGTGAATGGGGAGGGGGGCCGGCGCCCTCGCGGCCTCCCCGCCCAGGAATGCGGGCTTTTCACATATAGAAAATGCTAATTCTTTGTTCCAGCCTGGCCTCCCGGAGGCGCGGAGGCGCCCGGCCGGATTGTCACAGCTGCATTTGCATGTGAGCGGCCCCTGGTCCCCATCCCCACCCCCACCCCGCCCCTCCCCCCGCACGGCGGGCCGAGGACTTCTGGGACTTCTGGAAAGGCCGCTTGCAAACGTCCTCTGCCATCACTGAATCCCCGGGAAAGCCACAGGTAGCCACTCTGGAACTTTCTGAACGGATATCCCTTCCCTTTGTGCCACTGGGCAGGTTCTCCCCCCCCCCCCCCAACTCCCACTTCATTTAGCGCTTTCAATCACTTTATATAAAACAACTCGTTCCATCGAGGAGGAGGAGGAAGGCACTGGGTGACCCACTCGCATCTGTGCCCTGGCGGCAGGAACCCCGAGCTCCACGTGACGCTTTGCAGGCGCTCAGAGCCAGCAGCCGCGGGTGTGCGCGCGTGTGTGCGCGTGTGTGCGCGTGCGCTTCTACCGAAGGGGACACAGCCCTCAGGTTGTGGCGTCGCCCGAGGTCCCGCAGCAAAGGCGCACCGAGCGCGCACGCCCCCGAGGCCCCGGCCGCGCCAGGCCGACTGGATGCTCAGGGCCCAGGGCGCCACCTGTCGGCGGCGAGCGAGCCCCGCGGGGCGCGGGCGCAGCCGAGGGGCCCCCGCGTTTCCCAGGCCGGAGCTTTAGCTCTGGGCGACGCCGGGGGCCTGCCTGACCGTCTCCTTCCATGTTTACGATGTTTTCCTGATTCACTTCATATGATCTTGTTTCTTCCTGTTTGTTTTTGTCATTTAGGTTTTTTTATTGAGTTGTATTTATTTTACCTTTTATTTCTTTTCTTTTCTTTCGTGTATTCTGTGTCCTTACTTTGTTTGGCTTATTGTTTCATGCATGTTCATGTGGCCAAGTTCATTTCATTAATTAATTAATTTCGTTTATTTTATTTAAACGTCTCTAGTCCGTTATTTAATTTCATTTCAATACCCTCTTATACGTCTTATGTCGTTTAACCTCATTGGTTTCGCTTTTCTTTTACTTTATTCGTGGGTGAACGGAAGAGGCGGACACCTTCTTCATCCTATGCTGAGGCTCATGTATTCTGCATCGGAGTTTGGAGAAATAGAAAAACAAATAGTACCTTAGCTCCTCTCCGCAAGCGAATCTGAAACACCTAAAAGTCGGAGGCAAGGTTTGATATCACAGTCCAGGAAACCGTGGTCAGTGACTGAAAGTCATTCATAGATCGTTCTCCACTTGACACGGTGTAAAACACTCCGGCCCTCTCAATCAGATTTGTACCCTCCGAGGCACACTGCCCAAGCTGAGTTCGGGGCACGC